CAAAAATTAGTTGCATACCTAGTTATGCTTATTAAACAGCTGTTTTGTGTGACTTTTATCATATGTGTTTGTTGTGTCAACAGCGAATGCGTTACAGATTGATTTTCATTTTAAATATGTATATATACTTCCAAGGCTTACATTGCACTTCCAGGGGTTTCCCATCCAGGTCATTGACCAGACCTTCACTGGCTTAGCTTCACAAAAACAATAGTCTGATTTGCACATAATGCTCAACCAAGCCCCAGCTTAGTGTGAACAAGCAAACATGTAGCTCCAACGGAGGAGCTGATGGCCACTTTGCTCCTGCCCTGTCAACTTGCTGCTGTGCTGTACTGAGCTAAGCCATGGTGTGTCATCCAAACCCAGACTCATGCTTCAGCTCTCCACCAGACTGACCATGAGCTGGAACTAAAGTCTGACCTTCGATTTGCATCTTGTGGTTCTTACAGCACAAGATATTATGGGCTGTTCCGTGAGTCCGCTGGATGAAATAACGGAAGAATGTTGCCTCAAGAGAGCCAGTGTGGTGTAGTGGTTAAGCGCGATAGACTTGTAATCTGGTGAACTGGGTTCGCGTCTCCGCTCCTCCACATGCAGCTGCTGGGTGACCTTGGGCTAGTCACACTTCTGTGAAGTCTCTCAGCCCCACTCACCTCACAGAGTGTTTGTTGTGGGGGAGGAAGGGAAAGGAGAATGTTAGCCGCTTTGAGACTCCTTCGGGTAGTGATAAAGCGGGATTTCAAATCCAAACTCTTCTTCTTCTTCTTCAGGAGAGTGAGGGAAATTCTCAGGGATGATTCACACCCTGGCCAGCACTTTCTTGATCTCCTGCCCTCAGGCAGAAGATATAGAAGCATGATTAGTCGTACCAACAGGGTAAAGAACAGCTTCTATCCGTGGGCTGTTAGGCTGCTGAATGAAAAGATAACAACAGGGCAACTGACTTTCGGGTTTGGTGGGTGTGCGTCAGTAAACGAGGGGAATGAAGACTAAGAGAGCTGAGTGGGGGGTGCTCATGTAATATCACTTTATACAAGTTGTACAAGTAACAATAAAGTATTTCAATTTCTGGAAGAGGTAAACCACAAGGACAGGTTCAAATGACATGCTAAGGCACACCATGTATTTGCACAGCAGCAAAAGAACCTAGGAGGAGCAAAGGAGCCCATGATCTACTTTCGGGGAACCAACATGTTTGCTTGTTCACACTGAGCCATAGTTTGGCTTAGTGTTATGTGTGAACGAGGGCTGTGTGCTCTTGGACAATTCATTAAGCACAAACTGATACCATTATAATGACTGGGCTTATCAGTTACACCATGCTGGATGCCATGCCTATTGTTCAGGTGGAACAAAGAGCTAGGTGCCACCTACACTCCAAATATCCCATGGCAGCTCCCAGCAGCTTCATATAGATGTTAACAGCATGGGAAAGATTCAACCCTGCAGGACAACAGAGAGCAGCTGAGGTGGAGCTGAACACTAACTTGTCATAACTGTATTTTCTGCAAGTGGCTCTGGAGGCAGGAGTGGAATAATAATAATAATAATAATAATAATAATAATATATTATTATTTATACCATGCCCATCTGGCTGGGTTTCCCCAGCCACTCTGGGCAGCTCCCAACAGAATATTAAAAGCACCATAAAACATCAAACATTAAAAACTTCCCTAAACAGGGTTGCCTTCAGATGTCTTCTAAAAGTCAGATAGTTGTTTATTTCCTTGACATCTGATGGAAAGGGCATTCCACAGGGTGGGTGCCACTACCAAGAAGGCCCTCTGCCTGGTTCCCTGTAACCTCACTTCTCGCAGCAAGGGAACTGCCAGAAGACCCTCGGTGCTGGACCTCAGTGTCCTGGCTGAACGATGGGGGTGGAGACACTCCTTCAGGTATACTGGGCTGAGGCCATTTAGGGCTTTAAAGATCAGCACCAACACTTTGAATTGTTCCCGGAAATGTACTGAGAAACAATGTCGGTCTTTCAGGACCGGTGTTATATGATCTCGGCAGCCACTCCCAGTCACCAGTCTAGCTGCCGCATTCTGGATTGGTTGTAGTTTCCGGGTCACCTTCAAAGGTAGTCCCACGTAGAGCACATTGCAGTAGTCCAAGCAGGAGATAACTAAAGCATGCACCACTCTGGTGGGACAGTCCACAGGCAGATAGGGTCTCAGCTTGCGTTCCAGATGGAGCTGGTAGACAGCTGTCCTGGACACAGAATTGACCTGTGCAAAATGAGACCCTAGAAGACTACAGTTCCTAGTTGTCTTTGGGAGAAGCCATGGCTATTAAAGTTGTATAGGAGTGCTTTAAATGGGTGGTGTGGCCTTCAATATCCATGACACATCAAAGACCATGCAGGGGTCCAAAATGGAACTCGTTGTTGGCCAGTTATGGCAGCAGTGGCCAATGTGATGTCCTCCAGCTCTTCTTCAACTCCAGTTCCCATGGGCCTCAACCACCATGACCAATGGTTGCAGATGGTGGAAGTTGTCCCCCAATAACAACACATTGGCTGTCTCAGCCCTAGGAACCACAAGGTTCTCTTCTATATGCGCAGGAGTCAAGTAGCCAAGGAGAATCTCCTCCGAGAGTTTCCCAGCAAGCATCTTTGTTCAATTTCATCTGAAGACAAGGGGCGGCAGGAAGAAACCGCTATTTCGTTTTCTCCCCTGGAGAAAAAACATGGGTCTCATCTTCCTAGTTGCGGCAAAGGTTAGCCTCTGACCCCTGCCAGACACAAGGAAGGTGTCTGCCCTGAAAGGCAAGCTTGTGTGGAGCAGCCGAATGAATAAAGCCATGGGAGAAGGAGTGGGGGATGCTTTATCCAAAACACATGTTTTTTGCCACTATTCTAGTTATCTGGAATATTTCCTGCATGTTTGTTGCCGTGGTAACTGGCCCAGCATGAAAGACCTATTTACTAGGCCCTAGGATAAGAAACAGCCATGTGTTGTCAATTTTAGAGCTCTCTTTCTCTCCCCCCAACACCCCTGTCTCTCTCTCTCTCTTTCCCCCTCTTATACAGTCCCCCTCTGCTGTATACCCGGATGGTACGGAGCCTAAAAACCCAAGACAAGAACCATCCCTCCTGCTCGCATCATTCCCAAGTAATTTTGTTTTCTCCTTGAGTGAGGTTTTCTTGGCTCCGCATGGAGAACGACTGGGCAAAGAGCCATGGTGGGCTGGGGGGGTGGGTTCTGCTTTGAAGGAAACGTTAAGAAAAAGTGTCTGGTGCCTTAGAGGCGTGATTTGAACAGGAGAGGCTCTGAGACTGGACAAGAATTCACCGACAGAGCGGGAGGTAAGTGAGCACTTCAGCTTTCAGAAGGGGAAGCCGCTGAGTTAGCTGAGGTGAATTCGTCCCTTCTTCCTTCTTTCTCTTTCTCTCTCTTTGCACCTTCTTTCCCCAGTTTCCTCAGGGTGGTCAACCTGAGCTGAAGCTCTTTCACCTTGCTGCTTTCTCGCTCCCATCTTTTTTTTCTTCCTGTGAAGCCAGCAGCCTGTCGACAAGCAAACCTGTAGGAAAATATTTGCTCTTCGAACTGCGACAGGAGAGCTGCACTGAGCTGCCTTTCTTACGCTCCAGTTCAGAAGAGCAAAAGGGGAGACATTGATGAGAGCATCGAGATTGTGTGGTCGGAGCCTCTCCGTACAATGACAGAAAGATGTAGTCCCCGAGGGACTATGAGACCCTCTCAGAAGGACTCTGGGGACCCAGAATTGATGGTGGCCTGTTTTACAGTCTAAGCCTCCACATGCTCCTTCTGTGAGAAAGTCTTGCAGCTCTATGAGGGATTCCTCCAGTCACCAAGGGGCTCTGTTCATACTAAACGTAATGTGTCATATGCTGGACAGAGCCCCAAGCTTCTGTCTGCAGTTTAGGATTCAGAGAAGTCACTTCTGGTTGTCCCTGGGGACAGATCTGCTGCCTGAAGTCAGACAGGTGCAAGCTCGTTTGAGATACTTCAGTAATTAAAACCAGTCCAGGTAATTTGCCTGAATTAATTATCCTAATAAAAGACAAATGTCTCCTCTTCTTTTTCTTCGATGTCTCTTTGCTGGACAAATCAGAGTGTGCTTAGAGGTGTGGGTGAGCTGAGGGGAAGAAAGTATGATCTGTCTTTCCACAGGTGTTGCCAAGACACTCCTTGGGAATGTTTGCTTCCCTGAGCTGTGGGATCTCTGGTGCAGTATTGCCTTTGATATATGAAGGATGATGGGTTGTGTTGTGATGTATGCAGTTACAGCTGTGTGAGCATTCAAAGCAGAGGTGACTAGGAAAAGGTTACATTGTAATGGCGTGTCACTGGCCCTTACCTGTGCCCAGGTGTGTGCAGTACCTGAGCACAAAACTTTGCTGCTTTGGGATCCATAATAATGCCTGAACATCAAACCAGCTGATGTAGGCATACCTCTGGTTGACTGACACATCCGTTTCCTATATTTCATAAGGTGTAACAAGCGGGACTGGATGGTTAGGAGTTTGGGTTTTGTTTCTTCTTATTTTTGTCCAAATGCTCTCTGTTTAGATCAGAGTAGGAAGCTAGTCCATTTAGCTCGGTTACATCTACACCAGGGATAGCCAACGTGGTGTTCTGCAGAGATTGTTGGACCATAAACTCCCATCATCTCTGAGCACTGGCCATGCTGCTTGGGGCAGCTGAGAATTATAGGCATGGAGAAAAGCTTAAACTTCCGCATATTGTGCATTTGTGCATTCCTGCCACAAAATTCAACAATGTCTGGAGGGCAACACTTTAGCTACCCTTAGTCTCCACTGGTTGGAAGTGGTTCATCAGCATTTCATACAAGGAACTTGCTCAGCTCTACCTGAATATGACAGGGGTGGAACATAGGATCTTCTGCATATAAAGCATTTACTCTACCACCTTGGTCCCTTCCCAAGGATGCACATGGCAAACCTCAAAAATTACGCATCCCAGGTATGTTATGGCAAAGGGAGCCCACAGCATCATGTATCTGCTCCAACATATGGATGTTAAGATAGGACTGTTCACCCCTAATATTTTGTGCCTTCCCTCTGCTCAGCTTTCCTCTAAAGCAGTATAAGTAAGCACAGTATGAGACAGGATATCAGATAGGGTGAACTTGCACAAAAGACCTGAGAACTCTTTCTCACATCATTTAATGTATACATTTCCATTGTAATTGCACATATACATGTGCATAAACTCTGCAGTGCTGCATGCATAGAATTTCCTGCAGAAATACATGTTGCTGTATGGATTCCTGACACTACCACCATCCATTATTATTTTTTAAAAAACACACAATATAATTCTAGTTCTCAAGGAAATTGAAATAATATTTTAAACCATGTGCTGTATCTGCCAGAGGTTCCAGTGTTCAAATGATAGAGTTTTGGTGCTTGTTGTACTTCCTTGTTCACGTATCCCACAACTCACAACTGACCCGTTCCTTGCCTCCTGCCACCCTACTGCTGCTTCCCCCAAATAGTTTATGTTTTGCAAAAAGGTAAGGCATGGGGCTCAGAAGAAAGTTGAGCCCATGCTTTACCTTCATACTTCACACCAAATGAACAATATGGTTATAATAAGGAAGCACATTTACAAAAAATAAAAGGATTGTTTATTTACATGATTGAACTCAAGATGTGGGGTAGATGCCATTATTTCTTCCTGATTTAGAACCTGATTTCTAGAACACATTCGCTACTTTCCCAACCCCATCAAGTAACCCAGGATCAACAAGAGCTGGTGTGCTCAACAGAGAAGTTGTGAGACTGCATCTGTTGAAGTTTGGCACATTATAGAAATGTGGGGAAGGAATATAGCTCAATGGTACAATGGCACATGCTTTGCATGTAAGAGGTCCCAGATTCACCCCCTGGCATCTCCAGGTAGGCAGGGGCTGGGGAAGACCCCTGTCTGGAACCCTGCAGAGCTGCTGGTGGTCATTGTCGATCAGAGAAGGGGAACCCTCTAGCCCTCCAGATGTTGGTGGACTCTAGCCCCCTCTGTCAGCATGGTCCATGGTCAGATATGGTATCCAATGACATCTGGAGGGCCACAGGTTCTTAATCCCTGGTGCAGATCGTACTGAGCTAGAAGAACCAATGGTCTGACTCTGTTTAAGGCAGCATCCTATGTTCCTGGATATATTCTATGGGGCACAGCCATCCAGCCCACTCAATGGCAGCATTATAGTCAACTTGACCATGTGTTCATATTCCAACATGCTTTCCATCTACCCTCAGTGCATATAGTTGATTCTCCCAAGCCCCTGGCAGAAATATCACACATTTAACAGCTGTATGGCAGACAGAAACCCTGTCCCATTGCTGAATCTGCATGCAAGGAAAGGCTTTGCCTGGTTTCTGCCTTTCATGCAGAGGTAAAAGCCTCAGCAGTCTTGCTGGTGGGGAGAAGCAACCCTGTTCAGTTAGTAGGCTGCATATTTCACCAGCCTCGGCACTCTGTGAATTTGCTGAAAGTCCCAAGACGCGTTGAAATTCCATCAGAAATGGCTGGAATTGAAGGTTGGAGTGGGAAATGAAACATCTCTGATAGGAGGGCAAACTAGGTCACCATTGTGGTTCTCTCTAGCCTGTAGATTTGTGTTACAGACAGCTAGGCTCCCCTTTTGAAGCAAAGCATTCTTTCACATGGATGTGAAGTGACTGTTTCCATACCTTTGGCCAAAACAATACCTCCTGCCATCCCCTAAGAGCAAAAAATGCCAAGAACATTCATTCTGGCATGTGAACTATATGGCAACGGCAGAGCGCGCTGTCGTGAGCCAAGGAAAATACCTCCTGACATTCCCTTAGAAAAATAAAAGCCTAGGTTTCCTCGCAATATGAAATAACTTGAATATTAAAAACAAACAGAGGCCCAGTAACAGGGTCGAGATGCAAAGAGTAATTCCTCATACAGCTGAAGTTTTGCATGCAAAGATGTGTCATGGCGATGGGAGCCTCGCTTGTGGTAGCTTCACCCACATGCAACCAGAAGTAAGTAGAAGGAAATATGATGGCACTGGCACTGGCCAGTAGGCAACCACAATACTAATACAACGGCCATCCACCCCACACACATGCTATTTCATCTGCAATACTTCTACTCCCCGGACAAATCGATCACCCAATCAATCCTTGAAGTGGTATCATCTTTCTCGTCTGTATGGATGTATATGCTCACTTTTGCATGACTGGAACTTATCTCCAGAACAGAGGTAAACCCGCACTGATTGATCTGTACACTTTGCCTTTGGCCCCATCCACCACTTACATGAGGGCCCTGGAAAGTTCAGACTAAGGGAAAGCAATGTTTGGGTTGGGTTCCCCACCCCATGGGGACAGATAGAAAAGGACACCTTCATCCCAGTATGGCTCCCCTTTATCACATGCACAGCTCAACGAGACAACCCACAGACTGCATAACAAAAAATATGGCTTACCTGACCCAACAATCCCACCCACCACCCTCACAAATGCAAACAAACCTCACTTCAGCCAACTACAGACAACCAACCACACCCTGGGCCCCCCAATCCCTCTCACTACCAAGGAAAGGTAAGAAGTGAAGAGAAAGAGAACCTACCCAGTTGACACCGGCCAAACCCCCCCAAAAAAGAACCCCACATGTACACTATACAAAAGAATATGTTTCACCACCCCACACCTCCTCTCCTCCCTCTCTTCTTCCCCGACTCCATACTGAATACAAAACTAATGTCTCATAGATAATGCAACTGATTTGTAGAAAAGTCTTTAAACCAGAAAAAAAGAGACAAGGCATGTGCTTTGGTAAACCAAGAAAAGCTTTAATAGTAGTAGTAGTAATAATAATAATAATAATAATAATAATAATAATGTTCCCCACTTTAAACAACCTGCAGTGCTAAAAATGAAAGACTTATTCTGAGAGCCAAATGGATGCATGGAGGATGGGCACCCTCAATTCCCCAAGCTCTTCTCAGAATCAGAGGCCGACTGACAGTGGCGTAGCGTGCGGGGTGCAGGGGGGGCCGGCCGCACCAGGCGCAACATCTGGGGGGGTGCGCTCGCACTCACAGCTCTCTGCCCCTACCGGGTTAGGGGGCGCAAATTACTTGCCTTGCCCCGGGTGCTGACAACCCACGCTACGCCACTGCCGACTGAGCAAGGAGGAGTTCTGGTGATGGACTGTGGGAAGACAAGCCATGGGAACGGCATGGGATCTTCTCAAATGCACACCCACTTTCCATGACACTGAGCCCCATCCCACATTTTGAACATGATGGGGGCAGACCAAGGGATGGAGAACCTTTTTTTAGCCTGAGGGCCACATTCTTCCATGAGCAACTTTCTGGGGGCCACATGCCAGTGGTGGGTGTGGTCAAAGGGTGTGACTTTCATCTTTGCTACATTCTGGCCACGCAGGTGCTAGAGGTTTGTATGCAAGTGCCCATATCTCTCTACTCAGTCAGGCAGCAGGTATTATCACATTTCCATCCAGGCATATTCCAGCCAGGCAAAAGCGCTCAAGGAGTAGCTCAGAGTGGGGGGGGGTGGCCTAGGGAGAGTTCTGAGGGCCAGAGAGATATTGAGGGCTGCAGGCTCCCCATTCCTGGCTTTTTGCAGACATCACTGGTAATTTGATCTTCAGTTTTCCTACACCAGATATGCATATGTAACCATAATATACCTGTAAATCCTTGCATTTCCCTTTGCCTTCGGTCTGCTGAGCTGGAGAGAGTTTTGTTGATGAAAAGCTGTGAAATGCCAGGGCCAGGTCACATGCCCATTGCAAGGTGCTCTGCGTAAGGGTAACACTGCGGTTTGTTTTGGAGCAGCCATGGCATGTGCCAGTGGCCAGGGTGCCCAGACGACCAGGGCTATGTTTATAATAACAGTGTTATGTGTGTAGTAAGAGCAGCCTATAAAAGGCAATGCAGGCTGGTGGTTGTAGAGGAGAAATGTAAACATATAGCTGAAAGTTAGAGGCAGACCTGCTGGGCTATGAAGAAACTTGCTTGTGAGATAGAGATGGGATTGAGACTAGAGGAAGCCTAGCGTGCAGGCAGTTTAAGGAGGTCTCTGTCTGCCAAGCATAAAAACCTCAAAACCTGACAATATTAGGAGTCAGGTCACACAGCCCTTGGCTCTGTCCGTTTGGAATATTGCTGTGAAAACGACGGCAGCCTTGTAGAAATTTCATAAAGCTTTTCTTGAAATCTGACAGAGGATTTGATTTTGCAGCTTTAGTCTCCTGCCTTCAGATCCACAGCATTACACATTTTTTACTTGGGTGCTATCGGCCGACGGTTAACATTTCTGTGTACTTGTCAAGGATATTTTCATAATATGCTGACCTGTCATGCCGTTTGCAGTCTGATCCTCTGAGCGCCATCATGTTGCACCAAAAAGACCCATTTAAGTTACTGAATGTGCCCCCAGTTTACAACTTTTCCATTCTAACTCAGAAGCATGGAACATTTAAGACTACAAAGTCAATGATTCAGTGTTGCGCTGAGCAAGAAAAGGAAAGAAAGGAACATGTGTGACACCATTCAGGGCCTAAATTAATTTAACCAAGTAACTGAGAAAGTATGGAAGTTGATTGCTTGGGGCCAGGGAAGTGGAATGCATCTTGTGTTTGGGCTATCATTTGTGTTATGCTTATTTTCTTGTAACAGTTTATTTTATTAAAGTTTTTTTGGATGGGGTAAAACATAGTTTGGAGGTGGAGGCAAGCATTGGAACCAGAAGCCTCTCTGAGCCATGAACACACATACAAGTGATGTGCCTCTGTGGCTAGTTATCACATGCCTAGAATTCTCCATCCGATCACCTGGACACTCACAGCTCCCACTGCCCCTGGCTCAAGAATCTGCCTCTAAAATGCCAAGAATGAGCCCATCTCAAACAAGGGAGGAGGCTGGAGGCCACTATTCCTTTGCACAGGTGTCAAAGCAGAGTGCCTCGAGTGGGATCTCCCCAGATTGACAACACAACATTACATGGAGCAGCATCTGCCATCATTCCTGAGCGCGGAGCACAATGTGCGGCCCGCAGGCAATCCACAAGGTCAGAGTCCTGACCTCCAAAGACACAGCCCCACGGGCTGGAATGTGTTTCCACAGCAACCTGTTGGGTTTGGATTTCCCCACCCCACCCCAACCGCCTCACTTATCAAGGGGACAGTTTCTGTTTTGGCAGCTAATGGAGCAGCCTGGGAGTGTAACTGGATCCACAGCTGGAATTAAAGTAATGGCCTGGCTTGTTTAAGAAGTTTGATGGATGGGGAACCCCTTGGGGTGAGTGGAGGAGGGGGCTGGATACTCAAGGCCGAGTCTCGGGAGCTGGTGCTGAAAGCAGAAGGCCACCTGCCCTTGTTGATCCAGAGCCCTCCTTCTAATTTGAGTCCCTCCTGGGTTGTTTGTGGTCTGGTGGGTGGTTAGATGCCAGCCGGAGAGATCTGATGAGTGGCAGAGCCAAGCTGTTTGCTTTAGCTTGGAGTACTGGCTCGCTCTTTGGTTTCCCCCCTTTCAAGTGGCAACTGAGGTTGTGTTGTGGGGAATGTGGGCAAACAGGGGTCCAGACAAAGAGGAAGCTGCCATTGAGCCTCAGCGCGGCAGAAGGAGCTGCTTGTTCAGCATCTCATATTTCCAGCCAAGGCCTTTGCAGGCGATGAATTTATCTATATTTGGCCATTTCAATGCCACACCCTTGATAAATGAACCTTGCAGTGCCTGAAAGGTTGATTCTCCCTGGTCACTGCTATTGAGAATGCTCACTGTGCTAGTCCAGTGCTCCAATTTGGAGGGGAAATGCAGAATGTTATCTGCAAGATCCTCCTCAATTTTAGTCCAATCACAAACATGGTAGCCTTTTTAAAAACAGTAGCTCAGGAGGCCAGCACAGAGGGGAAAGGGGCTGTCACTCCTTATGATTTAAGTCATATGCCTATTTTATGTATATTTGATCTTCCCGGGCTGCACCTTTTGGCATGTCATGGTCATGTGGCCTTGGTCTTGACCAGTTTCCCTCTATATCCATAAGTGTGAGCATCTGTAAACACAGCATCTCTCCAGATTATAGTAGCCAGTTAGGCATCACCAAAAGCAAGAGCAAGTCAATTTTGCATAACATTTGCATATTGTAATGTACAGCCACAAGCTGACAAATTATGGGTTGCATCCAATACAGCACTAAGTTGACGTCACTTAGCGGCATACTTGTCCCTCTGGCAAAATGTTTTGTGCGAGAGAAATGTTGTGGCGCAATAGAAGGCTGATTGCCAGTAATTTTGTTGTGTAGCAGATTGTGCAATCTGTTGTACAGTGACTTTCCACTAGTGCAGTTGATACAATGGGTTCCTCCGTAGCACAACTTTAAAACTCACCTGTCTGCTAGTGCATTGGCCCTTAATAACAATACAGTGGTGCCTCGCAAGACGAAATTAATCCGTTCCGCGAGTGTCTTCGTCTAGCGGTTTTTTCGTCTTGCGAAGCAACCCTATTAGCGGCTTAGCGGATTAGCGCTATTAGCGGTTTAGCGGCTATTAAAGGCTTATTGGCTTAGCGGCTTAGCTGCTAAAAGGCTATTAGCGGCTTAGCGGCTTAGAAAAAGGGGGGGAAAGCAAAAAAAACATCTCAAGACTCGCAAGACATTTTCGTCTTGCGAAGCAAGCCCATAGGGAAATTCGTCCTGCGAAGCAACTCAAAAACAGAAAACCCTTTCGTCTAGCGGGTTTTCCGTCTTGCGAGGCATTCGTCTTGCGGGGCACCACTGTAAAACCAAATCCATTGCAGGTGAGGAGCTCTAGTTTCTCTGTACTCCAAGAGCCTGCAGCATTCAAGACTAAGTACAGTTCAGAGGGAACGAGGGTCTTCTCACCTGAATGAGTGGTTCACAGCAACCAACTTTCACAGTGAGAAAACTGATACAGCACCGATGAGTTCAGGCCCTATGCAAGCCTCTGTCTTCCTTCGCTGTTGTGTGTGTCAGCCTGAAGGTTGCTATGGGAAAGTCTCGGTCTTCTGTGGGAACCTCAGCACAAAGCTCTGTCACCCCCACTTCCCAACCCCCTGTGTTGTGTCCCGAAGAAGCACCTGGACCTGCGTCCCCATGAAGCAGAGAGCGGGGAGCTGTTGTCCTGCAAAAACTGCTCCCTCGGCCCTGTTTGCATGCAAAAGTCTTGCAGCAGGAGACTCTGTAGGCGTGGACCCAGCCCAGCCGACAGTGGGATTTGCATACATCAAAGCCGCAGACAAGGAGCCTCCCATGTGTTTGTCAGCCTGAGTTAGAGATGATACGGGCCGGAGCTATTGTCTGCCCTTAAGCCACCCCTGAAAAGATCCACTTTCAATATCTGAAATAATTTCTCCCTCGGTTATTAAGAGACGAGTGGCGGCCACTTACTGAGAGGTCTCCAGCTGTGTAGCCAATGGGGTTTTCATGGCCTTTGGAAGCAAGGCTGGTCCTTTATGAGAAAAAAGAGAGGTTTCCTGTGGGAAGAAAGGTTGGCCAGGGCGTATGTATGTCACTGTGGGTACTATGGACCTTGAGCAGGTTCTGTCACACTTGTCTTGCACTAAGGAGAGGTGTGCTGTCATTTCCCAGGCTTGTGGGCGATTCAGATGCATCACGAGCAAAACCAATATGAATCATAAGCATAAGCTGTTTGTCTAGGGAACAGCCAGATGGCCCTGGTTTGAGGAGCTAGGCAAACTGATTCAGCCCTTCCAGTGCCCACAGAGGTGTAGGGTACCTCAAACTGCCTGAGCCCTCTTTGGGTTCCACAGAGCTGAAGGAAACCCACATGGGACCACTGGGGGTTGCATCCCCTGCCTAGCTGACTCGGGGTGGGCATTTGCACATCGCCAAGAAAAGAGTGGTGGTACTGTGGTCTAAACCACTGAGCCTAGGGCTTGCCGATCAGAAGGTCGGCGGTTCAAGTCCCTGAGACGGGGTGAGCTCCCATTGCTCAGTCCCAGCTCCTGCCAACCTAGCAGTTCGAAAGCACGTCAAAAGTGCAAGTAGATAAATAGGTACCGCTCCGGCGGGAAGGTAAACGGTGTTTCCGTGCGCTGCTCTGGTTTCACCAGAGTCATGCTGGCCACATGACCCGGAAAAACTGTCTGCAGACAAACGTCAGCTCCCTCAACCAGTAAAGCGAGATGAGCACCGCAACCCCAGAGTCATTCGCAACTGGACTTAACTGCCAGGGGTCCTTTACTTTCTTTCTTTTTTAAGAAGAGAGGGAGAGGGAAAGAGGGCGCAGAGCTGCATAAAATTCACATCTGTGAATTTATGTGTATAGATGTGCAAATTTTGAAATAATGACTATGACTGAAATACCTTTCCCCAGAGCAAGGAACATGGAGACCAGCTGGCCCGTGTACCTGCTCAGTATGTTCTCCAGATACTAACTGTAAATGGGCAACTTGTGCACAATTAGATACATCCGCACCATTAAAAGCACTGTTATTCCACTTAAACAGTCATGTCTTGAGTTTGTTGAGGGTGCTGAGAGTTGTTAAGACTCCCTCAGAGAGCTACAATTCCCAGCACCCTTAACAACTTGCCAACAAACTTGGACCAGCTGGACAGTCCTTCAAGTGAAAGATGCCTTCAGAGATGGAGGTGTCATCTGTCAGTTAGGATCCATGGACCCCCTAAGACATGGGTAGGTAAACTAAGGCCTGGGGGCCGGATCTGGCCCAATCGCCTTCTCAATCCGGCCTGCGAACAGTCTGGGGATCAGCGTGTTTTTACATGAGTAGAATGTGTGCTTTTATTTTAAAATGCATCTCTGGGTTATTTGTGGGGCATAGAAATTTGTTCATTTATTTTTATTATTTTCAAAATATAGTCCAGGCCCCCACAAGTTCTGAGAGAAAGTGGACCAGCAATAAGCTAGGGTGTAAGTGACCAACTTGCAGCCCATAAGCTGAAATTAATCCAGGAATTTATATACTGTATACATAAATACATGTTTGTTTGTGTGTTTGTTTGTTTGTTTGTTTGTTTGTGTGTGTGTGTGAATGTGTGTGTGTGTGTGTGTGTGTGTGAGAGAGAGAGAGAGAGAGAGAGAGAGAGAGAGAGAGAGAGAGAGAGTGTCAAGTATCAAAATAATTTGAAAGGGCTTGGGTGCTTTGAATTTCAATTTGTGGGATAAGGCACCATATTCCGTTTTGTCCTAAAGAGCAGAATATGTCAGGCCAGCTTTGGAAACGAACAGACTGGCGGTTGAGGCTAATGGCTAATGCTAAGCAGAACAGGAATTCTGTCTCTGATTCCGTAACTGAATTACACCGGAATGCCCAGTCTCCCAATCCCCTTGGCAACCTGCTCCTGCTCCAACTGGGCAGTGGCTGACAGGTAAAGAATGGGAAGGAAGCGTGCTTCGGTGCAAAAAGGTTATCAGTCCGGTGCTGTGACAGTCAGCAGAAACCTGCCTTGGTCAGAGGCTATGCCAGAGACAAAGGGAAGATAGCCCAGGGGTGAGGAACTAGAGAATAAGGGAGGCCTGGAGGTGAGGCTTTGTTACCATGGCTACCAGGATGCAAACACGGCTGTGCGCAAAGATGCTGGAAGCAAGGAGCAGCTTCTTAAGAAACCGTTTTTTGGTGTGTGTGGCCTTTTTGGCTGCGTAATGTGCCTGTTGAATAAATATTTCTCTTTCGCTACAATCCAGTGACACTTTCATTGTTTTTACTTCATAAACAAGAAGGCTGAGTTTCTATAACTTTTGTTTGTTTGACTTGTCTCCTTCGCTGTGCTAAAGGCAATGGAAGGGAAAGAGCAGAACACTCTTATTTGGGACTGGGAAGCGTAATGCCATGTCAGGCTTCCCCAAGCTGGAGCCCTCCAGATGTTTCGGACAGCAGCTGAGCTGGCTGGAGCTGATGAGAGCTGTGGTCCAAAACATCTGTGTGGCACCAGGTTGCAGGAGGCGGTGCTATTCTGAGGCTGCTACAAGGGCCAAACAGAAAATTGACTTTGACGTTTGGGGCCCTGAAATTGGGAAGCCGTTTTTAACTGTTTGGGAGTGATGTTTACCGTGCTTTGTACACAGAACATCATTTGACAGAGGAAGTTGAGCTAAAGGGAGAATGAATTTTAAAGACAGGTTGTCAGGATGCTCAGCAGGGAAGAGAGACCTGAAAGCCACAAAAGAGATGTCACTTCTGCACACATTACAATATGTTGTAAATAAATGCCAATTACATGTGCATTTGATGGATCATTGCAGTGCAGGTACAAACCTCTGGCTGATCTTGGTTTGAAGTTTGGCTAGGAGTCTCACAGCTTCTTTTCATGAATGTACTTCTTCATGTTATCTGTTAATCAGTACAGTGGTATCTCGGGTTAAGTACTTAATTCGTTCCAGAGGTGTTCTTAACCTGAAACTGTTCTTAACCTGAAGCACCACTTTAGGTAAGGGGCCTCCGCTGCTGCTGCGCCGCCGGAGCACAATTTCTGTTGTCATCCTGAAGCAAAGTTCTTAACCCGAGGTACTATTTCTGGGTTAGCGGAGTCTGCAACCTGAAGCGTATGTAACCTGAAGCATATGTAACCCGAGGTACCACTGTAATGGCTAGTGACCCTTGGGACTGGTAGGATGGAAGACTGGGAGACCAACAGTAGATGGCACTAGAATTGATGACAGGCAGATCTAACTAACTCTGGAATTGGTTCATCCCCCCCCCAATTATAATCCGGCCCCTCACAAGGTCTGAGGGACAGTGAACCGGCCCCCCGCTGAAAATGTTTGCTGACCCCTGGTCTAATGCGTTTCCAAGCACAATTCAAAGTGTTGGTGCTGGCCTCTAAAGCCCTAAATGGCCTCGGTCCTGTATACCTGAAGGAGCGTCTCGACCCCCATCGTTCCACCCGGACACTGAGGGCCTTCTGACAGTTCCCTCACTGCGATAAGCCAGGTTACAGGGAACCAGGCAGAGGGCCTTCTCGGTAGTGGTACCCGCCCTGCGGAACGCCCTCCCACCAGATGTCAAAAAGAAAAACAACTACCAGACTTTTAGAAGACATCTGAAGGCAGCCCTGTTTAGGGAAGCTTTTAATGTTTAACAGACCACTGTATTTTAATACTTTGTTGGAAGCCGCCCAGAGTGGCTGGGGAAACCCAGCCAGATGGGCGGGGTATAAATAATAAATTATTATTATTATTATTATTATTATTATTATTATTATGGTCCTTGTGATCCTTTCCAACCCTATGATTCTCTACCTCCCCAGCTTCTGGAGTCCTGCGCATCTCAACACATCCCATTTTCTTTATCAGTTTTGGTCACCTTTTCCAGCTCCTCCTCCCATTTTCTTTACCTCCAGTGGAGCACTCTCTTCCAACTATCTTTTATTGGTTTTCTTGCTTCTCAGTCCTCTGCCTCTTCTTTTTTTCCTGGGCTCTCCTGCTGGCTCTACCTCTCCATACCTAGACCTTCCTCCTAACACCCTGTTCTCGCAGTGGCCAGCCAAACGCCCATGGGAAACCCACAAGCAGAATCTGAGCACAAGAGCTCCCCAGCAACTGGTCTTCAGAAGCAGTGATGCCTCTGACTATCTGAAGCTGTGCTTAGGCTATGTTTTTAACCTTTCCTGCAAAAACTTTGATGCCACTGCCAGACGTATAGCTGCTCTGTATCATATATGAAAGAACACCCTATCAGTGATTATTCTCTGATCTCTCCCGCCGGCCTCGTTCCCTCCTTCAGTTCTGAAAAATATCCCCAAATGCTCTAAAGTAGGGCAGAGGTTGGGGAGGGGGTGTTATTGGGGGTGGGGGGTTGTCATATTTTGCTGGTCCTAAGGCCCCAGATTACCTTAATCCTGTTCTGTGTATAAGGAGAGGAGACAGTAAGGAAATTGTCTCTTTTTCAATTCCTGGAGGAGTCGAGAGATTTTGTTTGAAGACAGTTCTTAATTTCCTGCCTTGCGTGCTTCAAAGCTGAGGTATGCCTTAGGGAGTTTTTGGGGACTGCTCTGCTCGCAAGAGCTCAGGAAGCAGAGCTCGTGGGGAAAATGACAGCTGCAATTTTAATATGATGACTGCTTTTCAAATGAGCTCAATTACGGACGCAGGGCTGTTGCCCTGTTGACAGTGTTGGTTAAAAACCAGAAGAACAACTCCATCGGATGCAAGGAAAGCAACCAGGCTAAAGGACGAACACTGAAATGGGCCTCTTGCTAAGGCTTCACTGGGGCCAAAGGAAGCATGGAAGGTTTTCTTTCTTTCTTTATATATATATCTATAGATTGATAGATAGATAGATAGATGATAGATAGATAGATAGATAGATAGATAGATAGATAGATAGATAGATGATAGATAGATGATAGATAGATAGATAGATAGATAGAGATATATACAGTCATACCTCAGATTACAGACGCTTCAGCTAGCATTTTTTCAGGTTACGGACGCGCCGAAACCCAGAAGTACGGGAACGGGTTACTTCCAGGTTTTGGCGGTCGCGCATGCGCAGAAGCGCTAAAACACACTTTGCGCATGTGTAGAAGTGCCGAATCGCAACCCGTGTGTGCGCAGATGCAGCGCTGCGGGTTGCAAACGTGCCTCCCACACAGATCACATTCGCAACCCGAGCATCCACTGTGTGTGTGTGTGTGTGTGTGTGTGTGTGTATAGGTTTACAAAAGTACCAGTATGTGCAATGTCGCTTTTTCAAGTTACATTTTCTACAGATCAGTTTCATTTGTTGAGGCATTAGTATTACATTAGGAAGAAAAGGGGGAAAGAGGTAGGGGGGGAATGGGGAGTGGGGTGGGGGTCAGGTGGCAATGCTTCTATTCTACTTAGTGTATGTGTGGGGCTTTGTGTCAGCATCACCTGTGTGGGTTCTCTTTACTATTCGCTTGTGTTCCTTTGGTGGTGAGAGAGGTTGGGGGTTGGCCTAAGGTGTGGTTGCTTGTTTTTGATTGTAACCCGCCAACAGCATTCGAATCAATCTGGCTAAGCTGATGCAAACACACCCACACCCCACTCACACAAGAAACCAAAGTTTTCTTTCACTTCTGAGTACCTGTAAAAAGGGCTGCAATGAATTGCTGGTGAATTGGTGCAATTTCATAGCTGTCAACTTTTCCCTTTTCTTGCGAGGAATCCTATTCGGAATAAGGGAATTTCCCTTAAAAAAGGGGAAACAGCTATGCAATTAATGTTGCTAGAAACGTTTTGGTTGGCTAAAAGTGTGTGTCTGGTTGATCAGGTAGCAGGTTCTTACTTTCTAAATGGCCCTGGCCACATCCACACCAAACATTCAAAGCACATGACTTTCCCTGAAGAATCCTGGCAGCCACACCTTTTAAGGGTGTTGGGAACTGTAGCCCCATGGGGGAGGGTAAAACTACAGTTCCCAGGATTCTTGGTGGGGAGAGGAGCATGACTGTTAAAGCGATACTAGTATGCTTTAAATGTGTGGTGTGGGTGTGTTCTTTAAAGCTGTAGAGGGTCAAGTGGTTTTTGAGAAGTGGAGAATGCTTTTCAGCTGCATGCCCTCCTGGGCAACCCCACTGATGGGAACGGCCACAGGCAACAGTGGGTGGGGCCAGAGGCAAAAGTAGGTGGAGCAATAGAGACTAATCTTTCTTTTTCAGAGAAGCGTGCATTCCAATCACACACAACTATGGGGTTTCTGTTTCTACAGACATAGGGCTACTATACATCTGGGATCCCGGACATATCCGGGATTCATCCATTGAAAATAGTGTCCAGGCAGAATTTTGGAGAAGTGGTAAAATGTCAGGGAAAACTGGGAGCGTATGGCAACCCATGTCAGAAGTGTTGATTTTTTGGCGAATTTCCATAAAAATTGCTCCAAAACTTCATTTTTCATTCTTTGAAGTTTTGCAAAAAAAACAAAAAAAACTCAACAGCTTTGCACCCCCCCCCCAAAAAAGACAACTTCGCTCCCCAAAAAGTTCAACAACTTTTGTGTCCGGATTTTTACTTTTTGAAATAACTCTATACCCTCCAACATTTCTCCAATGAAAATAGGGACGTCCTAAGGAAAAGCGGGGAACTTGGAGGGTCTGAAATTTATGCAGATTTAATGTCTATTATATTGAGTAATCAACTATTCTTCCTCTGATTCTTTGACTTTAATCACAGGACTGTGCTTAGGTTCAGTGAGAGTTGGATACCAGTGTTTGAGCAAGTCCAATGTCTGTTCCATCCACATTGGATCAGTTTTTTTATTATGGCCTGAGGAGGTGGACAAGTTGCTTAAAGAAGTGCAGCCGACCGCTTGCCTCCTTGGCCCTTGCCCATCTTGGTTTCTTAGAGCTACCTGTAAGAGGATGACCGGGCGAGTCCAGAGAGTGATTAGTGTTTCACAGAAGGAAGAGGAGGAAATGCCATTGGCATTGAAGGAGGAAGTGGTGTGCCTCCTCCTCAAGAAGACCTCTGTGGACCCCAAGATGTTAAAATAACCATTGCCCGGTGGTCTTCTGGGGGCAAGATGCTAGGGAAGATGGTAGCAGTCCAGCTTCAGGCATGCTTGGAGAAAACTGCGTACTTGGATCTGTTCTAGTCTGGCTTGATCATGGCACTGAAACTGCTTTGATCAGGAGAGAGATGGGGCAGTACAAGCCTTGATCTCTCGACAATTCCTGAAACTGTCAACCTCAGGAAGGTAGAAACTTGGGGACATTGTGCGGCAGCTAGACTGGTGGCTGGGCGTGGCTGCCGAGACCATATAACACTGGTCCTGAAAGACCTACATTGGCTCCCAGTATGTTTCCAAGCACAATTCAAAGTGTTGGTGCTGACTTTTAAAGCCCTAAATGGCCTCGGTCCAGTATACCTGAAGGAGCGTCTCCACCCCCATCGTTCTGCCCGGACACTGAGGTGCACCTCACAGGGCCTTCTAGCAGTTCCCTCCCTTCGAGAAGTGAGGTTACAGGGAACCAGGCAGAGGGCCTTCTTGGTAGTGGCGCCCACCCTGTGGAACGCCCTCCCGTCAGATGTCAAGGAAATAAACAACTATCTGACTTTTAGAAGACATCTGAAGGCAACCCTGTTTAGGGAAGTTTTTAATGTTTGATGTTTTATTGTGCTTTTAATATTCTGTTGGGAGCTGCCCAGAGTGGCTGGGGAAACCCAGCCAGATGGGCATGGTATAAATAATTTATTTTTATTATTATTATTGTTATTCCACTCCTGCCTCCAGAGCCACTTGCAGAAAATACACTTATGACAAGTTAGTGTTCAGCACCACCTCAGCTGCTCTCTATTGTCCTGCAAGGTTGAATCTTGTCCCCCATGCTGTTAACATCTATAGGAAGCTGCTGGGAGCTGCCACGGGATATTTGGAGTGTAGGTGGCACTTAGTTCTTTCTTCCACCTGAATCAGGCGAAGTGGTTGGAGGCGATGGTGAGGTAGAATTTTCCTCCCCAGTTACGCTCACAAGTCATTGAAGCATCCTTGCGTGGAAACACCACATAGGGGCGTATGTGTTTGTGTGTCAACTTCCAGTGACAAGTGTAGGTGTCTGCCATCTGGGTACCACACAGCTGATTCTCTTCTCTCTGCTCTCCACAGAGAGACTTCCTTGGCAAAACTGGACCATTCCAGAAACGGTAGCCTGCCACGGTAAGTCTGCCTTCGTGGATGCTGCTACTTCCCTCTCTTCCCAATTGCCGCTTAATTCCTTGTGTAAACTCTTCATTTTTGCCACCTCGAGGCATGCTTCCAGTGACCCTGTCCAGTGTTTCCTCTTCCCCCAGCACACACACACACACACACACACACACACACACATCTGGGAGGTCCCCTGGGAAGTCTGCTGCCTTGATCTCTTTCGGGTAAGTGCTAACTGCTGATAATAATCTAACAATAAGCATTTCAGGGCAAGGTTAGGGATATTATTATGGCAAAGCGTTGACACTCCTTTACTTGTTGTTGCAGATGGGGCCGGGGATGGGGGGGTGGGCTGGGCTGGAAGTGGATGGGGATTGAGACCAAATAGGCCTCTTTTCCTGACCTTGTGTAAATGGCCGACTTTAGGTCACGGCTGTGCAAACAGAATCTTCCCTCCCCTACTTGTTTATTTCTTTATTTGTCTAGCTAATGCGGGTTTAGTTCAAATGCTGCCGAAAGGACTGCTAGTCCCCTGTCATGGGCTTCACAGCCTGTGCCAGAAATCGGTGGCAGGACCACTAGGCAGACAGCCACGCCAATCTCTCCTCAAAGTGCCACATTCTCCAAATTCGGGGTGCACCTTCCCACACTCTGTCAAATAGCAGAACTCTGCTCCCTGCAACTTCAGTGGAAAAAATCATGTCATTACTGAATTACTCAGCCTGCTGCTTGGGATAGAAGTCTCAATTCGCTCCTGTGCTTGCAGGGGCTGGAGAAGCCAGCTCTGGGCAAGGAGGGAAAGAAAACTCCAATGGTCCTCTGTCCTTCCACAGCTATTAGTCAGCTTTGGAGGTGGTTTGGCTGCTCTCCTTCCAAAAGGAGTTGTAAAGTAAAGGTAAAGGGACCACTGACCATTAGGTCCAGTCGTAGCCGACTCTGGGGTTGCGGCGCTCATCTCGTTTTATTGGCCGAGGGAGCCGGCGTACAGCTTCCAGGTCATGTGGCCAGCATGACTAAGCCGCTTCTGGCGAACCGGAGCAGCGCATGGAAACGCTGTTTACCTTCCCACCAGAGTGGTACCTATTTATCTACTTGCACTGTGACGTGCTTTCGAACTGCTAGGTTGGCAGGAGCAGGAAACGAGCAATGGGAGCTCACCCCGTCGCGGGGATTCAAACCGCCGACCTTCTGATCGGCAAGTCCTAGGCTCTGTGGTTTAACCCACAGCTCCACCCGTGTCCCTAAAAGGAGTTGTAAACACATGCTATTTGTCATGGTTAGGAGTTGCCCGTCTTCAATTCAGATTTTTGTGCAGGTGCATCACCAGGTAAACTACAGAACGATGGGCTAAAGCATTTGCCTAGTACTCTCAGGCCCTGGACTAGCTCTGTCCACCCAAGCTGGTCACAGGGCACCTTCTTATTTCACCTGAGCAGCAAGACATTCCTGGTGTTGATGTGGCCTTGCATGCTCTGCACCTGTGCCCTGCAGCCCTGCATTTGGACTTATCTTTGGTTCCAACTGTCAGGAGTTCAGCCTACCCTCAAGTAGGAACCTGGCAGAGATACAAGCCCGACTGGCATGTTCTCTCCCTCCTGGTCGATCGTTTGGGAGCTTCAAAAGCTTTCTTCTGCCCGAACATCACAGCGACCGATGCCAACAAACACCTGCACACTTAGGGATCCGCAGAGTCTTTGCAGCTTGCATAACAGACCTCAGCAACTCAGCATTTTGGCTAATCTACTTTATTTACATATAAACATATACAGAGCACTGCAACAGGGCTCCCTCTCTCTCTCTAGCATCAGACAGCAAAGAGAAAAAGAACAAAAGACAATAGTCCCACTTCACGGAACACAGTAACACAACCCTCCTGTCTCCGTCACTTCCCACTCTGTGGAGTCAAAACATACACCGTCATGAGATAGACAAACATCCCATGACTGCAATCATAGACCAGGAATTCTAACAACAACACCTGCTTTCTTCTAGGCTTGCGTTTGATTCCTCTGGTTCCTGGTGTGGATAGTGTCATTATGTAGTTTAGTCAATAGGTGGCGCTGAACTGACCTGTCTCTGGGTGGAGTCAGGCAATTCCTGTTGCTGCTCTGTTCCTGTTGGAGAGAGGCAATAAAGTTCCTGTCCTGTTTCCTGTAGCTTTTAAGTCTTCCATGGTATTCCTTGGTGTCCGATGGTTTCCTTGGTTCTGAGTCCCCAAGCTTGCTCCTTGGCTTCGACTCTGTCGATTGGCTCCTGGCTCATCTTGTACATCTGCCTGTGGTTCGATCTGAATACTCACCTTTTCCAGGTCCTTTGCTCCCTGGATCTTGCCAGTGGGAAAAGGCACCAGTGCTGTTTGGACAGCAGGCACCATCTGCAATAATCAACTAGCTGAACTGGCAACAATCTCCCTGAAACAATAACCCTCATTGCAGTTGCCCCTTACCCTCATGGTCAACTGACCGCCATGCAGGACAAAAGCCTGACAGTGATTGATAAAGTCCAGCTGGACTCACTGCGCTTGGCTAATCATTTAAGGAGCCATCCTTCTTCCGTTTTCACGTGCTTATCCTTACTGCTTCTCTCAAGGCAAACCTCGCTTTCCTGCCTGTCGGCCAATCTTCCCAAGCCCAAGACAGATGGCCCAATTGCATCTGCCTTCTGCAATTAAAACAGCAATTCCTGTCGCTAGGTACTGGGATGGGAAAATAAGGGACCCTCCTTTATTCCTGACCTGGAAAGTTCCCCAAGCAAAACACAGCTCACCCTCTCCAAGCATCTCATAATGAAAACAGCAGGCAACAGAGCAAGCTGTTTACACAAGCTGTGCTCTTCTTCCCATGGAGAGGTTGACTGGGTTGGAGCTTCCTTGCACATCCTTGTTTTAAAAAGACATTCCAGGGACTGGCTTGGCTCCGGCATTGCATCTGTTCTGTTCTACAGACCAGTCAAAGGCTAGTCTCTTTATTTCATGGACAGAGAACCTTTCTGTTGAGGGCCAGGACCCACAAGCTGTTGGTGGGAAGAGCCAAAAGCAGTGGTGGTTAAAGCTAACAGGGTGTGATGGCCTGGGACTCAGGCTCAGATTCAGAATCAGAGGAGTCTCAGTCTGCACCAGATCCTTCACCTCAGGCATCATCTGAACCAAGTCTGGGGCCTGATCCTGAAAAGTCCCAGTCTGCACAGGTTCCCCTGCAACAAACACCAGCTGGACTGAGTCAGGGGCCTGAGCCTGCCCTGGCTCCAGATGTGGGGGATTACCTCGTTGTCTTCAGCTGGGCCATCACTTACAGCTGCTCCACTACCAGTTGGGTCAAGGGAGGCTGAGGCGGCCTCTGGGTCTAGTAACCCACCGACGTCTCCCAAGCTGCAGAGACTAAGGTCTGAGAGAAGGAGAGACCTGAGTACTCGCAGGAGGAGTGCTCACCTTTGGGCGAAATGGGAGGTGAGTCACCGGGGTATCAGGACCGGCCGTTACCCCGACAAAGATAAAAGGCTGTCGGACCCCGCCCCAGGTTGCGGGAGCAACATTGCTGTATGCCAGATCCTCCCTGAGATCCTGTACCTGTCCTTGCCTGGTTTCCTGCCTCGTGTCCTGCCTTGACCCTGTTGGACTGACTCCCAGTGGAACCTTTGGATTCTGGACTGGTCCTGGGCTGTGTTTCAGGGGTTACCCCTGAGCCCAGCACACAGGAGCTTGGACTGAACACCTTTCTCTCTTCTTCCTCCCCAGTCTCTTCACTGCCCAGCTGTCAGCAGGGGGTCAGACATCTTGCGAAAGGTCTGAACAGATCACTTGCAGAGGACTTTTGAAATCAGGCTAAGGTCTGTGTGTGGCCATAGGGCTGTTGGTTGCTCATCATAGCCCTACTTTTATATAGCAGAATTCCCTCCTTGGTCTTTCGGCCAGGCTTATCCTAGATTAGGGATGGGGAACTTTTCCAACCTTGGGGCCACATTCCCTTCGAGGCAACCTCCTAGAGGCCACATGCCAGTGGTGGGCAGAGCAACAAATATGAATTACCTGTATACCTCTGCACTCCATCCAGACAGGCAAGAGGCATGATTAGAGTTCAAGGATGCATTCCAGCTAGGTAATAAAACTTGAGGTGTGAAGCAAGGCCAATGAGGGGTGTGGCCTTGAGAAGGAGGGTGTCGCTTGTCGTGTCAAGGGACCACGAGGGTCATCTAGTCCAACCCCCTGCAATGTATGGATCTTTTGCCCATCATGGGGCTCGAACCCACAACCTTGAGATTATTAGTCTCATTCTTAACCAACTGAGCTATGATGGGTACACTAATTGTGTGACAATTAGAGTAAAACAGTCTAACTATAAAGTTGGGCTGAGACTTTGGATGTATTAGTTATATAACAAACTAGAGTGTGTGTTTGTGTGTGTGTAATGCACATCTGTATTGGACTGAAATGTGATGATGGCATCATTATGACAAAAAGAATTTTTTTTAAGAAAATGGGATTTGTTCATAAGCACGGGCCCCCAAATGCTATAAATCCCCTGCTGTTTAGGAGGTTTGAGTCTTGCTGCAACTGACTAACACAGATACCCCTTTGGAATTAGTTGCTTGTTCACCAGAAGCGGCTTAGTCATGCTGGCCACGTGACCCAGAAGCTGTACGCCGGCTCCCTTGGCCAGTAAAGCGAGATGAGCGCCGCAACCCCAGAGTCGGTCACAACTGGACCTAATGGTCAGGGGTCCCTTTACCTTTATATTGGTTTGTCATGCTGTGCAGGTGCAAAACCTCTTCTTTGCATACAGTATATCCTACCTGTAGTCTCTCTTCTGGCGCATCATCCGGCGCACCATGTCTTAGGATCTGGCCCCAAGCATTATTAACACCATTTGCCTTTCGTTTAATTAGAAAAACAAACAAGCCCTCTTCATTTCATCACTACAAATAGCGAGCCAAAGATGTGGCTGGTCCGGCTCCGCCGAACGCAACAGATTTACACCAGGAATGACTGTGGTCTGCATTGTGTTTTATTCAGCCACAATAAATTTACTCCTGCAAGTGCTCTGGTGTGGCATGAAAGCAGCTGTGTTTTCTTAGGCACCAACAATTTGACCGATATGGTTTTTATTGCCACCACAGAAGCTGTTAGCGCGTAAAAGTTACATTAAAGTTTTATGGACCTTGCTGTCTCCTATGTTAACCTTCATATATCTAAAGAGGGTTTCCAAAGGAGACACCTCCTTCCAGAAAAGGCCTCTGCAGGTCTGGAAAGACCCACATGCCACACATTTAGAACCCGGAGAAAGACAGAATCCACCGTCCGAATGATTCCTGTCCCTCACCTTGCAGAAAAGCAGCGGTGCCTCCTGCTTCGGTGCCCCCTTCCCATTAAAAAGCAAAACAAAACGCTCCGTCATACAAGTCTCAATCATTATGCCGTATCAGATCATGTCGCTAAGAATGCCATAATGTAACGGGCAGCCGGCCAGGAATAATATTCGCATTCCCACTGGAAATCTCGAAAACCCTTTCATTTCACCGCGTCCCCAGATATACTCTCCACAAAGAGGTCATGAAATCTAAACCTCAGTGTATAAACCGCAGGAGGACATCGGCCGAACATGTCAGGCTGGGAGCGAGGGGGTGGGCTGAGAGGTGTGTGTGTGTGAAAAAAGCGGGGAGGGTGTCGCATTAAAAATTGCCTTGCCCATTTACAATCTGTTGAAAGTTTAAAGATCGCTTTCTTTGAGGTGACAAAGCGATCTGTCCGCAGCAAACAAAGGCCATTTACCCGAGTGCTTGGTTTGGGGGGGGGGTTTGATGGTGTGTGTGTGTTTGCGTTTTGTGGTTGTTGCTTTTTAATGCGCGGAACAAGGGCGACTCTGCAGCCGAGTCAGCTTAGAAGCAAGAATGGTGCCTGAATCGGGGAGACAGGATGATTTGGGAGTGTGGGCTCGCTTGCATTGTTCCCCTTCCTCCTCGCCCCCACCCTCACCCCCGTGCTGCCCCCATGCTGATCTGGCTTTGGCAATTTGAAATTGATTATTTTGGATTGTGTGCGTGTGTAGAGCCCCGCCCCTTCTGCCGGCTAATTAAAAAGTGGCCTTGTTGAGGCAGCATGCTTTTAAATTGCTAAGGATTGGCAGGCCGGGCCCGGCAACAAAAAAATCATTAATTCTAATGTGACAGTGTTTCTTTAAGGGGCCCTCATGGTACAGGACAGGGGTCGGATCAAGTTGATTATGGACTCCTGTTCTCATCAATCTCGCGCTCTGCGGGAAGGTAGCGGAAACATAGCTCCAGACTTTGGCTCGCTTTTCAGCTCTGGGCCGAGCTGGGGTCGAGACTGTTTCTCAGGCTCCTCGTTTCTCCTGGGGGGAAGGAAGGGGGGTCAGAAACTAGGCTCCTCCGCGTACAGCCAAGTGTAATGAAGAGTCAGCCTTCGTCATCTTCGGCGAGATTGCTTTTCAGCGTTAAAAGCGCTCCAACCAGGACACTGCTGTTATTCAGCTGGGCTGGGTCTGGTCCTGCTGGATTATCCCAGAGCAGGGTGTGAGATATCAAAGTTGGAAGAGCAAGGCAATGTCAGCTCTGCTTTGTGAGATTCACTCCCATGAATGCATGAAAGGCTCCCTGTACAAACTGCATTAGATGCGCTCCAAATGTTCATTCCTGATTGGTCACGCTCTGACCCGCAGCTGCATTCCCTGGCTGGAGGAGTGAAAGATGCACTGTGGCTTTGTTCTGCCAAAATCAGGGCTTGGAACCATGACAGGACTATCATATTACTGAAATGGAGGGTCATCTGGAGAAAAATGATCCTCGCTGTGGCTCGAGGGGCATGTCCCTCCTCGGGAGAACAAAACACGGAAAGTCCCGGATTGGTTTCCGTTGAGGTGGGCGCAGTGAATACTGGGTGCAAAACAAGGATCCGGCAGAGACCCGGAATCCTGCTCCATCGCAACATCCAAGGATACAACTCTCACTTCTAAATTATTTGCTTCTAAATTCTGCTGTGTGGATCGAAACGGTGACTGAACAATATACAGTGGTACCTCGGGTTACATACGCTTCGGGTTACATACGCTTCGGGTTACATACGTTTCAGGTTACAGACTCTGCTAACCCAGAAATGGTACCTCGGGTTAAGAACTTTGCTTCAGGATGAGAACAGAAATCGTGCTCTGGCGGTGCGGCAGCAGCGGGAGGCCACATTAGCTAAAGTGGTGCTTCAGGTTGAGAACAGTTTCAGGTTAAGAACGGACCTCCGGAACGAATTAAGTACTTAACCCGAGGTACCACTGTACTTGGCATGTTTAGGCTTTCTCTAAGTAGATCTTGCCTTTCAGTGACTAATTTGGACTCACTATCATAACCCAAGGTTGGTTGGTTTAAAAAAAACAAACCCAACTAGCTTTGATAATTCCATTGTCTGCCCCAAGTGTCCCCCCCTTCTTTCTTTCAGAGAATAGTCTCTTTTATTTTTGTTAAGTTTCTAGTGCTCATGGACATCAGCGCTATGAACATCAGTAGGTGGCAGCTGCTGAAAGCACAGCAAAACAGTGGATGGGTTGTGTTCAGTGCTTTTTTTCTTTAAAAAATGTTTAGGGGTACTCTCATTTTCCTACTCATATTGAAATTCTGCCCCTCAATGAGGCCAAACTTAGATTCACAACATGTTTAGGGGTATGCGTACCCCTGCGTCCCCCCAGAAAAAAAGCACTGGTTGTGTGTATTCTGAGAATCTGTGCAAATGCAGGGTGTCCATGCTAATACTTAGCAAAATAAATTAATAATTCCCCCAACACAGCATTTTGTAGCAAAAAGAACCTAAAACACTGCAATAAATCAGAATCAGATAGGCAATTACAAAATGTGCACCGTTTATTCTGAGTGTGGCATTCGGTTCTTATTGTCACAGAATTTGGATGGGGCATTATAACCTAGTGGTCACCGAGGAAGCAGTTTTACTCGATGCAACTTTTATTGTGGGCATAGTCCAGCTGAACCCCAGCTGAAAAGTAAAAGTTTTTAAAACATGCCCTGTCCTATTTGGGGCTGGACCTTTTTATTGGGGATGAGCTAACCACTACACAATAGGCTGAAATTCAATAGTTCTAGTGAAGCACCCAGGGGTGTGCTCTCTCTCTCTCGTTTTACCCCTCACAGAGTTACAGTTTGTGACACCCTTAACAAATTACAGTTCCCAGGATTCAAAGAGGGGTGAGTGAGAGAATGTGCTTTTAAATATATGGTGTGTATGCAGCCTTTGCACCCAATGTGCTTCACCTTAAGTCAATCCACTCCTCTCATTTTTCTGCCACGGTGTCTTCGCAAAACTGCAATTGCTGTTTCTTGCCCACTTATTTGTGGGGCCAGGGTCTCTGCCTCTGTCCCTGCAGGTGAATCCCCCATCCAGGAAACATTAACAATAATTTAGAAGCAATAACATTTGTTTGTCAAAGAGCCCTGCTGGCTATCAGGTATCACTTGGGGCAAAACCTTAATGAGAGGCACAATAATGGAACAGCAGCTTTAAAAGTATTTTTGTTCTAGCTGTATGAACTGTGCAACGGACTGGCTTGACAATTTGCCAAGAACCTTCTACAGTCATACCTTCTACAATCGTAGCTTAGTTCTCGAATTTTTCGCCCCCCCCAACGCCGCAAACCTGGAAGTGAGTGGTCCGGCTTGTGAACTATTTTTTGGAAGCTGAACGTCCTAAGGTGCTTTCGCGGCTTTCGATTGGCAATCAGAGCTTCCTGCAGCCAATCAGAAGCTACACTTTGGTTTCCAAATGTTTTAGAAGTCGAACGGACTTCCGGAACAGATTCCGTTCGACTTCCAAGGTACGACAGTATATGTCTTTGACAGAAAACAAAACCAGCATCCTCCCTGTAGCTTGACTAATTGCAGCTAGAAGTGGCTAGGAGGTAGGTGGAGTCGTAGACCTTAGAAAAGTGTAGATTCACAAACGCTGGCTGGCTTTTGACTTGAAATGTTCGTTTTCGGCTTCTCAGAAATCTGTAACGGCGAGAAGCAGCAAGGGGGAGCTGGCCAACAATGGGGCCCAACTGAGAGGTGCCAGAACTGTGCTCTGGCATGCGCCAACTGGGGGGGGGAGCACTGCGCATGCATCTGCTGCAGTTGACTCTAGCCCCTAAAAGCTTATAATTACAGTGGATGCTCAAGGTGCGAACGTGATCTGCGCGGGAGGCACGTTCACAACCCGCAGCATCTGCAACCTGCAGTGCCACTTCTGTGCATGCACGGGTTGCAATTCAGCACTTCTGCACATGAGCAAGTGCCAAAACCCAGAAGTAACTCGTTCTGGTACTTGCAGGTTTTGGCGCGTCTGTAACCCAAAAATGCGCAACCTGAAGCGTCTGTAACCCGAGGTATGACTGTACAGTGGCACCTCGGGTTACATATGCTTCAGGTTACAGATGCTTCAGGTTACAGACTGAAATAGTACCTCGGGTTAAGAACTTTGCTTCAGGATGAGAACAGAAATCGCGAGGCGGCAGCGGGAGGCACCATTAGCTAAAGTGGTACCCAGGTTAAGAACAGCTTCAGGTTAAGAACGGACCTCCAGAACGAATTAAGTACTTAACCCGAGGTACCACTGTATTGTGTTTGCTTTTAAGGTGCTGCTCTCTGCTGTTGTCTCTGCTGCCGTTAGACGGAGTGAGCTGACCACCTCATGCAGAAGTTGCTGAGGGAGCAGCAGTGAGGTGTTGTGGACCAGGTCTGTCTGAGCCAAGTGGCCTGCTGTGTACCCCCAAAGCTAGCCCTCAGATGATGCCGCCTCACTGCCACAACTGAACCGAGCGCCACTCTGATTGGCTTTTGTACATGGACCTAGGAGGGCAGCACCATCTTGCCTGTTGCCTCGGGTGGCGAAATGCCTTGGACACCAGACTGATGGAGCACTGTCCCTCTGGAAATGGTCGCCTCTATCCGCCATTCCTAGCGATTCTGCGTCACGGCCTCCGTTTATGGCTCTGCAAATGGGCACAGCTTTGTGCCCTTCAAACCACACCACCTTCCCTCGTGTGATTCCAGCCCACTCAGATCATATCCATCTCTGAGCAGCAAACTGGTTAACGTGACCTTGCGAAAGGTTGGTGGGGGCTGGGGTTACTTCTCCCTCCTTTTTTGTTCTTTTGAAGCTTGAAAGGGAGTTTAAAGGCTCCAATCAGTAATGGGAAGCGAATGGGCACAGGTCAGAATAAATTAGACTCTCCTCTTGCAATGAAAACCAGGTTGGCTGAAAATTACCCCCACTCCCCAGTTCTCACTATTTTTAGTCCCATGGCGGCAGGGCAGGCGGATGTGGTGGGGGAACAGAACTATTTACCTTTTGGCAAGCATCAAGTATTGAACTTGAGAAGGGAGAACAAAAGGGAGAACATCTTTCTCTGGGCAGGCGGAACTCAAAAGGGTCAATTCAGAGCTCGCCCTGGATTTAATACTTCTGTACTGCTCTTTATCAAAAGAATCCAGGGAGGTGTACAAAAGAAGACTTAATTCACACAACAGAGAGATGTTGTTTGAAAATGAGTGAATAAGTATCAGAAGATACAACACACATGCAAAACCACCCAAATATTGCTTCTTAAAGAAGCTGCCGAAAAGAAAGAGCCCGTGTAATATAGTTGTTAGAGTGTTGGAGTAGGACCTGGAGACCAGGGGTCAAATCCTTACTCGGCCATGAAGCTCGCTGAGTGACCTTGGGCCTTTCTCTGCCTCCTAGGCTAGCCTACCTCACAGAGTTGTTGCGGGGATTAAATCTGGAAGGGGAAGAACCATGTACACCACCACATGACCCCAGTAAGTGGGGCTTCAGTTACAGGACAGTAGCCACAAAGGAGCAGCACATTCTCGTTTCACCTCAGGCGGCAAAACAGGACGGGCCACCCCTGGTCCTTGGGCAAGACACCTGCCACGGGCCCCACATCCTTTGTGAGGCTACCTGCTCATCACCATTCTCCCTCATCACGGCTATTGCCTGCTTGCTTGCCAGGCAGAGATCCAGTGAGCAAGCGATCCGTGGCATCTCCTGCCCACCTTCTCCCCACTGCCATTGTCTTGGTGTCTGGTGATCAAGCAGGCTACAGGTAGGGGAGCAGGCCCAGGAGAGCTCTTGTTAGGGGGCTCCCTTCTAGGGTGGATGCCCAACCATGCTGGCCCTTGGCAGTGTCTCAAACCTTCATGTTCAGAAGTTGCTGCTGGATTCCCCTTGCTGTGGGGCAACCGTAGTCTTTGTTTTGTCCTCATGGGACTGAAGGAGGCATCCGCCTGGCCAATGGAGGAAGGAGGATGCTGGACTTAATAGGCCTTTGGCATGGGCATAGCCATAGGTCACTTGGATGACCTTGTGGCACATTTCTAGCAATGCAACCGCCAACCCGACTGAGCTTTGACTCTGAAGCTGAACTATGGTACGCCATGGGGAAGCAGAAGAAACTCAGCAAAGAGCAGTTGAAAGAGCTGAACATAGCAGACCTAGTAAAAGATTTGGAAACCTTTTAGGTAAAGGCAAAGGGACCACTGACCATTAGGTCCAGTCGTGACCGACTCTGGGTTGCGGCGCTCATCTCGCTTTATTGGCCGAGGGAGCCGGCGTACAGCTTCCGGGTCATGTGGCCAGCACGACTAAGCCGCTTCTGGCGAACCAGAGCAGCGCACAGAAACGCCATTTACCTTCCCGCTGGAGCGGTACCTATTTATCTACTTGCACTTTGATGTGCTTTCGAACTTGGCAGGAGCAGGGACCGAGAAACGGGAGCTCACCCCGTTGCGGGGATTCGAACTGCCATCCTTCTGATGGGCAAGTCCTAGGCTCTGTGGTTTAACCCACAGCGCCACCCGCATCTCTCTTGCTCTGCCATGCACCACCTGCACCCTAGAGCGGTCATTCGGTACCTTGAAGAGAGTAAAGATCTAGCTAAGGCCGACAGTGACCGGGGAGCGTCTCACTGGGCTATGCTTATTGAGCGTGCGCAGAAAAACTGGATCAGGGAGGGGAGGAGGAATCTGAGAAGGAAGGACTGAAAAGGTTTTCAGCAAATCTACGAAAACTTGTTTTAGTTTAGATTTTTTTAAAAAAATAAGATGGGGGGAAAGGCGCGTTCTTTGTAATTTTGCAAAATATACTTGTTATCGGCATGAAAAGTACTCAAACCATACTGAATCAAACCATTAGTGTCCATCTAGCTCAGAACTGTCTTCATTGACTGGCAGCCGTTCTCCAGGGTTTCAGACACGGAACTCTTCCAGTCCTAGCAGGAGATGCCAGTGACTGAACCAGGGACCTTCTACATGCGAAGCAGGTGTTCTACCACTGAGCTGCAGTCCTTCTTAACTCCAAAATGGCATTTCTTGGAGATGACCCCCCGGGTGGCTGAGAGAGGCCTCTATTCCGTCATGGATAGATGCCAACGGGTCATTGGATGTGCTTCAGCTGCCCCATTTCCCCTCTGTGATTTATGTTTTGCAAATGCCAGGTGAAACTGGGCTGGCAGCCCGTAAATCTCCCATTGGTACAAATGGGAGCTTTCCTTCCGATGCAAACAGCAGGCACGAGGCAGGCGATCTGGATCAGGACCACAGTGGGTGGCAAAGGGTTAAAGCCCCCTCCTTCCTGGCCAGGGTCTGGGACTCAGCACCTGCTATTAACTTTTAAAAAAGCGATTCCAGAAATTGCAAATTGCATGAATGACGTCTTGTCTAGCTTTGGACTACCTCTTTTAGGCTTACACCTGACGGTCATTTGCCGGGAACGCTTCTGCTCGTTAAACTGCAGGGCAAAATGTACTGGGAAAGGAAAGTCCTCTGATTCAGAGAGAATTTTACTTGAATGCTTGTAAAGAGAAAAGAGCAGTCTGCTCATGGACACCCCCTAAAACTATGGCTGTTTAAGAGGCATTCTCTCAACATTTTCACCTACAATGACATCCACATTGTGGACAAGCACTACAACCTCCATGTTGCAGTGCAAGCATGGTCTAACTACACTATAAGCACAGAAAATAGCAGTCTGCTCATGGACACCCTCTAAAACTGTAATTGTTTAAGAGGCATTCTCTCAACATTTTCACCTATATTATTATTATTATCCACACCATGGACAAACACTACAATCTCCATGTTGCAGTGCAAGCATGATCTAACTACAGTATAAGCACAGAAAAGAGCAGTCTGCTCATGGACACCCTCTAAAACTGTAATTGTTTAAGAGGCATTATCTCAACGTTTTCACCTATAATGATGCCCACACTGTGGACAAACACTACAGCCTCCATGTTGCAGTGCAAGCATGATCTAACTACAGTATAAGCACCAAAAAGAGCAGTCTGCTCATGGACACCCCCTAAAACTGTAATTGTTTAAGAGGCATTCTCTCAACATTTTCACCTATAATGGCATTATTATTATTATTATTATCCGCACCATGGACAAACACTACAACCTCCATGTTGCAGTGCAAGCATGATTTAACTACAGTATTAGCACAGAAAAGAGCAGTCTGCTCATGGACACCCTCTAAAACTGTAATTGTTTAAGAGGCATTCTCTCAACATTTTCACCTATATTATTATTATTATTATTATTATTATTATCCGCACCATGGACAAACACTACAATCTCCATGTTGCAGTGCAAACATGATCTACAGTATAAGTATAGGAACAATCTCATGCTGCTGTTTAACTCCCAATAAGCAAAATATACCTACATAACATGTGGGAGCTAGTATGCAGTGGTTTGAGTATCAGACCAGGACCTGGGAGATGGGTTCAAGTCCCCTCACAACCACAAACTGACCGAGTGTCATATATTTTAGCTTCATATACTTAACTGGATTGCTGTGAGGATAAAACAAAAGAGGGGGAGAGAAACGATAACTGCCTTGGGATCCTTGGAGGAAAAGCTGAATACAAATGTAGAAAACGAAATAAAGTGAAACGTGTACGTGAAATCATCTGTTTGCTGGATTCCAGCGAAATCGGTTTTCCTCCTGGATCCGGATGGGTGGAACTCACAGCAGATTTCCCGGTGGGATTCAAAGCAGCACGGTTGCTAACAGTCCATTTGAAAGCACCCAAGGCTCCCCTTTCATAAGATGGTTGCATGGTGTGTTGGAAAAGACAGCTGGGGAGGGGAGAAGCAAAGCAATTCAGGAGTGTTGCAAAAGCCCATGGTGCCCTGCCAGCTTCCGCAGACCAGGGCTGCCATTTCACTCTTGGAACAGCTGGGTGTATTTTTCATTGGCTGTTGCCTGGCTTCTGATATCAGCATTGTGCCTGATGTCACCTAGCTGATAAAACATGGCTTCATCCCCCATTGAGAGGAGCAAATGAGTGAGTCAGACAAAGAGCAGTGAAGAAAAGGGCTCACTTTAAAGAGGCTTTCAAGGATGTTGCTTAAGTCTTTTTTATAAGCTCCTCAAAGCTCCGTCCCTCCTCCTATTAACTTCCCTCTAGGTGGGAACCTCTCCTTCTGAAGTGTGACATAATGAGAGGACTGTGACTTCTGGGGCTGCCATTGCTTACATAGTGTTGTTCTTACCTGGTTGTAGCCCACAAAAACAACAACAACAATCTTTATTACGGTCCAGAGACCCAACAAAACATTACAAATCAATACACAGTTCATACAGCCTACCTCCAGGTTAATCAAGCATTTTGTTTAGAATATAGGGCTCATTTGTTCTTGCAACCACCGATAAAAACTTTGCCACTGCCAACGTTCTAGCTTTTGTCCGATCTTCCAGTAGGAACCTGACATAGTGAGCCTCTGATTTTCCCAGGAAAGGCACCAGCAAGGGTAGTATCAGTTCAGCCCTGGCCTGCTCATACTTCGCACAATGTAACAAAATATGATTTATGGAATCGATGTCTTGAGCACACAAGCAAAGTCTGTCCTGGTAGGGAACTCCTCTCAACCTACCATCCAGCACTGCAGAGGGGAAGACATTTAGTCTGGCTTTGGTGAAAAGCCTTCGATAGTTAGGTACTGTCAAGTTTTTGATGCAAGATGTTGACACAAAGACATACCCATATTGAACTCCTGCTGCCAGCGGACTACAGACTGCGTGTGATTGAGATCGCAAGTCACTGTGTGCATTGTCCCATAATCTTTGCTT